CTAACCACACGCGCCATCGAGCTCTTCATCTTATGCATCTGCAGTGGGTAGTACCCGCCAATCCGCACTGGGCCCGCGTGGTGGGTCATGACCCTATCTCCATATTCCATCTATAGAGAAGGCCTGTGCCGCAGCAGTGGGGACATTGGTAGGCTGATGATGATGATGATGATTATATAGGAATATATTTATTTATTAAAACAATAGATACATTTAAATAACAAAAACTTAAAACTACTTGATGACTAAAATTTAAAATCTAAATTACCTTAACCCACTTAACAGTTTAATTAAGTAATTTAAACTTTCCAAAATAAAAAATACTAGCAAACCAGTAAACCAAATGTTCACCAAAACCGGATGTCTCGAAAACCGGAAGTGCTACGTTACTCAAATCCGGTTTGTAGTCTTATCAGACTATTCTTAACTTATAACTTAAATATTCTCTTTATCTATCTCTTACGGTTTGGCCGCTGAAACAGCACCACAGACAGACGGACGGAGTTGTCTAATAGATAAGAGATATGTCACCCCCCAGCGTCACCGTCAGGAATAGTGCCCAATAGACTGGCAGCACTGCCACGTTAATGGCAAGCCTGCTCATTTGACCAAGATAGCTGCCAGCCTATTGATCACCAATCATTATATAAGTACATTATAAAAATACTTTGATTGTAATTATTTATCATGGTCATTCCTACCATTTACCAATATCATGACCGCAAAATAGCAAAGTATTTGATTAGTCGAGCTATCACAGGATATGGTTAACGTATTACACACATGAAAAACAAGTAGGTACTATACTCACTTAGATCATTTTTATTAATAAACCTACTGTTTTTTTGACATTAACAATAAATCAGTCTGCATATTTTGTGACGTATATTTTTATGACGGTCTATTAAAATCCAATTTGCTGTTCATAGTCTATCTACTAGGCAGTTATACGCTCCATTCGCTTAGTCATTATAAAAAATAAAACAGCCAAGTGCGTGTCGTGCCACGCGCAGTGTAGGGTTCCGTAGTTGCCTGTCGTAACCACAATATATTTGAGCAGGAGTCTTTATTGTCTGTATCGGAAATTAAAAAAAAAAGATTTTGTGTTTCAATGCAAGGTTTTACGATACAATCACTTCATCTATGTCACTATTAATGTTTTCTTCTAAGGAATTTTTAATAGGTAAGAAATTTTCTTTAACCAAAGTTGAACGACTATTACTCTTAAACTAACAAATCTATCTTAACTTTATCTATCCTTATAATTTTCCTTAAAAGTTCATGAAAATCACTATTATCATAAATGTTTTCCAGGTTTTGAAGGAAGTGGGGGACGCTCTATTCGAACATAAATTAGCACTTTGAAGTTCAATATTTCGCAAACGGATTGCGTAATCGAAAATTAGTCTTAAGAACCCCTAAATAATTTTAAGGGATTTATTCAACGATAACCCACACGGTGGAATAGTCGATGAAAAAATACGTCCCCTGGTTGTAACCTGTATTTTTATATTTTGCCAAATTTAATTCTACCATTTTGTCGACGTGATTGATATACATATCTCCACAAAATTACAGCTCTCTAGTGAACAGTCTCCAAGCAAGAACGGGGACGAACAGACAGACGGATATGACGAAACTAAAAGGATTCCGTGTCAGGTCTACGGAACCCTAAAAATTTTAATATATATTATAATATAAAGAACGGAATTCATAAAAATTTAAACGCATGTTCTGGTAATTCTAAGAAATTTAAGACGAATTTACCGTTACCGTTTCTGTTTGGACATACATTGCTGGTTTCCGTTTCCGGTTGACTAGACTATTCTTCACGGAAATAGCGATGGTTACTTCAAATCTACGATAAGAAAGGAATTGCAATGTTTGACCTTAATGTCCGTTCCTTATATAGTTCCGTACATTCTAAAGTCTGGGTCGCCAAACAGTTTTTGTGTAATTTCGTTTTTTTCTTTTTTGTCAGTTTCATCTCTCTTCAAGTTAAGAAGTGTTGCGAACATACTAATATCATAAATGTATAAGTTTGTAAGTATGTTACTCAATCACGTGAAAATGGGTGATAGGATTTGGACGAAATTAGGCACACGCCTAGTTTTTACCTACACTGAGACATAAGAAACGGGGGACGGGACTCGAACCCGCACCCTTCGCTATACGGGCTAATGCACTGACCATTATGCTACCGCGGCCCTGATGGCCGTGTCAAATTCTTTCTTGCCTTTATTAAGCTGCAAGGCAGCGCCATTACATCGCATTGTAGGTAACCCAAACTTTTCGACTTTTTCCTAGTCATATTTTCTTTACATTAAAAACATCGAGCAGTTAGAGGTTAAAAAGATAAGTTACTTTTTATCCTTTCATTATTTTTTATAATATAAGAAGAAAAATGTTTGGTTTCTGACGAAGTCGCGGGCGCCCGCCAGTTAATTAATACGTAACAAAATAGAAATCTCTCTTTAGTAAAATCGAAAGATCGTAAAATATACGATTCGTGAGAAATCTTAGCCTCTGGCTGAAAACCAGCGCCATGATATTCTATGTCATGGAATGTGCTGAGCTGGAGATTTTTTTGCCACTCCAACAACATTTTTTTAGTTGATGTTGTATTTTGTAGGTAACTGTATCTATCTATTTTTACTACAGGTGGCAAAATATTTTTTCTTTCTTTCTTCACTCAGCAAAATGTTACTACTAACTTACGTAACTTTAAAGTGAGATCCTTTGCCTTATAAATAAACACAATAATGCCTTCAACTCAACACTATTTCAGCGAACTTCCTAGTCAGTTCAATTAAGGACAATTAGCAAGTTGAAATCTGAACCGATTTTGAGTTCAATTAGCGCACCGCTCGAACTATCACCAACAAACGCACTTTGTGAAATTTCTAGTAAATGGACTACTAATTATGATAAAATTGAATTTTGTATTCTATTTTCAATATTAGGACTCGTAGTTTATTAGGGTACAAATAAAAAGCCTTTGCGAGAAGAAGAATAAAATCAAAATTCGACAAGCTTAAAGTTATAAACAATTATTTTTAAATAGTTAACTTATTTTAGGATCGGTTGCATATTATATAAAATTGTGTGTGTGTGTGTATAAAAATAAGTGTTTTTCCGTGCCTAAAATAAGTGCCTATTTACCTAGTTTTTATTTCAAATATATTATTAAATTTTAAACTTACTAATCAATGAATTTATAAAGCAGCCGACATTTTCTTATATAACTCATTGGGCGAAATATTTCATACCGCACCTTATTTATATCTATTGTACACAACTAGAATGCAGGGAAATTTCTCGGAGGGGGTTTCAATTAGCACATCGCTCGAAGTAGAACGCCTTCTCATTAGGCGCGCGTTGTCGTAAGAGCGCGATCCTAGATAACGTTTTAAGGCACATCTGCACATGAAGCAGTTGTGGGCGCGTTTTTGTCGTACTATTTTCTTAACTCCTACATTTATGGTATTTATTTACAAGTAAAATTTTTATTTTAATAGTTTAACTGTAACTTTCTTCCATTGAACTTTTGGAAATTCCTTGAGAAGGCTTAGGTCCCATAGTGAAAATCTATCGGCTGATGACTATGATGATGAATCGAAACTTTAAAAATGTAACAAAAATAAAGTTTTGTATATAAATTGCATCAATTAATATTATTATTATTGTCTTATAATAACCTCATAAATAAAAGATTAAGGTTTTAAATAACAATTACTTTTTATTCTAAATTAATAGGGAAATCTAATCAATCAATTATTTAGCTGTCAAACCAGCAGCAGAAGCAACCAGGAGACCAACTAAAATAAATAACGTTTATCATGCATTGTGTAGCAATATTAATAATTTTGTTCGTTTTTCAAAACTAAATCAAAAAACGCGCCCGCCCTTTCTAGTGCCGCCACCGCGCTCGATGTGTCAGGGCCTTACATTCTGTGCAAGATAACGCATTACGCATGCGCAAGCCATTGTCTCCAGATGCCTAGATAATGCGAAAGCACGCTACACGAGGCGGCTGCTTCGTCGCCAAATGACTCATACATTTTCGTGCTTTACAAACACCTTAATTTGTTTACATTTTTAGCGATGTAATCTATAACTTTTAAATGTAGACAATGTAAGCACACATTTTTTGCAGGATAACCTACCTCTGTACTGACAATAGATGTTTTAAAAGTATGTATTATAAAATACACTTATCTTACTAACTTGTATTTATTACATTTAAAAATATTATGCAATTTGAAAATCACGGTGGAAATTTCACCTTGTAGCTTTGAAACTAACCCTTTACCCCTAGAACACTGGAAATCTTACTAGCCAGCGAAAAAACAACATGGTTTTCCATAAGTATTCTTACATCCCCAGGCGAGCGTGTTAATTCGAGCCGAAAATCTGCTATGGGCTGATTTGATACCTATAAATTAAAAAGAGGCCCGAAAATGTTTCAATTATTGGTCAAACAGCCAGCTACTTACCAATCTATGAAGGCTGTTTTTTTTTAAAGTTACCTCTAGTTATTAATGTAAATATAAGTCGATTACATTCAATCATGTAACTGTGTTCCGTAATCTTATATTTAAGGTCACGAGAATTACACGGTATAGAGTATGAAATTATAATAGGTAATGCGTAAACGAAACTGCTTGGGTCGTAAACTGTTTTAAGGCTTAAGAAAAATGATTACCATCAGGCACAGAGAATTAAAAAAAGGTTAATAATGAAATTTTACCGCGTTTTTACTCAGATGTTTAGACATAAGACTTATCATTTACATGAACGCAGAAATGCATGTTCCAACGCTGCACTTATATAAAAAGTAGGTGAACGCTAGACAAGGCAACCAAACGGACAGGGGTTAATGAACATCTTTATTTTAATAAAACGTGGCAAGAGTGGATATTTTTGTAGTGATGTGTTTTTAAGGTTTAAACATGTAGCAGTTGAATGCTTAAAAATATAAGAATATCGTTTTTTTTCAGGTACATCGAATAGCACAGTGCTTCCCAAAGGATGAAGAGTAAGCTGCGATGCTGGAAACAGTTTTTCGGGTCGGATACATTCAAATCAACAGGTAAGGAAATTTTATACCAATGCAAATTCATTTTTGATCATAATAACAAGTAAGTAGAACTAATTTAGAATTTGCTTTGTTCACTCATATGTAATTGATAATTTATTATTGAAGCTGTGTAACTTTGTAGAAGATGTTTGCTTACCGACAAGATAAATTTCTTCTCATGATAGCGATTATACAACAAATTCATTCCCCGTGGACGTAGATATAGAAAATAGTCTATGATCAACCACGCGAGCCCAGTGCGGAAGATATGTGCTAAAGATAACATATTCAGTCGGAACTAACAGTTTAACGCAACTTTGAGATTTTCATTTCCATGTCGGTATTACCCTATCATGATAGACCTGTTCTATATCGTGTTTTTCGGCTTTCGAATGAACAGCAATGGTTGGTAACACAATATAACTGTCAACCTCTTATGAAATTACAGTACGATCAAATTTAATAGAAATCAAATATAGCGCGTGGGTAGCCATAACAATATAGAGCCGTTCAGATAATTCAATTTCCTGGAAAATCGATATTTTGTATTTAGAAATGTCTGCATAAGGCATTTAAATTTAAACATCACATTGAACTTATAAAACCTACCTACTTATCCGGTCACGCAGACGAGGAACGTTTTGTCCGCGGAGCGCTTTTGTCCACCGTAATACATGGCTTACAACTGCATCGAGTAACGGACATGACGAACAAAAGTCCTCCGCGGATATAAGAAATAAAAGTACGCAAGAGTCCGCCAAAAAAATAGAACATATGTGGACAAGAGGCGGCAACGCACACGGCCGACTTGAGTCTACGGTGCGCGCTCGATAGTGATGTACGTGAACAGGTAGTGCAAAAAAGAATACCTTTAAATGATACATCAAAAAAAGAGTATCAAGACCGAAAGGACAATGCGAAATAGTTGTTGAAGGAATTCTTTAGAGTTCATAGATTTCATCATCAGAAATGCAAATAAAATAATCTTAGCGGATTTATCAAATAATTGAGGAGGGTTGTCTAAGTCTGGAATTAAAAACTTAAAATTAAGTAATCACATTTTTTTTATTGTAGCTTAGCTTCATGTCTTTAGAGATTATGTTTTTTGGTATGTTAAGTGATTTAATCGCTTTTCACTTAAACTATATTTAATTATTTTTTAGAATGATCTTAAAACATTGGTGTATTCAATATTATAGTGAAAACACAATAAATAATCTCAACAATCTATTTATTTATTGTCGTTTCGCATCCTTTGCGTCCTTTGCGAGGAATACGTCGTCAGAATAATGTTTTTTATTTACTTAGTTATTCTGACGACGCATTCCTGCAAAGGATGCGAAACGTCAATAAATAAATAAATTCAGTTCATCTAACCCGTTGTTTATTTAATAAGTGATGTGCGTGAAAACCTAAGAAACAAATAAACCTACCTAACCTTTTTTGAAAAGTTGAAAAATTTTATGTTTCGTTGTCGTCGTTAATAAAATAAAAAAATGAGTACCTAGTTGAATCGTCAAATTAGCGATACAAATAACAGTGGGTTCCACATACTTGCAAGTCCAAGTCAAATCGGGGTCATAAGGAACAGTATACTTTCACACACTCTATAATTAACGTAGCGACGTTAATGTTTAGCTACTCTTACTCATCCGCCAAAACATAAACAAACGCCTATTTCTCCATTAAGTAAAGGTACATACTCAGCGATACTAGCGCATTGTCCTGCTCCCACGCACTCTTGCGCATAATTCCGCGATTTAAGCGACCCGCCCTTACAAAATAAATCTAAGCGACATCGGTCGTAAATTACTTACAAATTACTCGATCTCCGTACACACGTGTGACACTGTCACATTTGCATGAAGCTTGAGTTGTTTCGTGATAATTACTTTTATTACTTGTGTCCTGTTATCCTTTGTTTATTGCTATTAAAATAGATATATTTTAGTAGAAGTTAGGAATAAGGGCTACCATAAGAGCTTATCTTTCTGAAACTGCCAATATCCATATTTTTTAGTAAAAACATATACTAATTTTTAAATATATTTAAATATATACTTAGCAAAAGTTTTACTTGGACAATGGAAATTATCAAGTTGGAATGCCCCCGTGGAGTGTTCAATTCTTATCGAGTACATATTATATAATGAGATACAATCTTTACCTATGGTGTTATTAATTTTAATGGTGCTACAAGAACAGGTAGAAAGATAATTATCATGAACTCAAACCGCGTACAAACAGAATATTCACTCGCTAATCGCACACTAAAACAGCTTTGTTTTAACTAAAGATAAGACCTTATCCAACAATGCGGGATTATTAAATTTCAACGGTCCTAGCTAAATAAGATAAAATTATATGCGATAACTGTCGGGAGATCACAGGAGAAAAATATATCGTGATGACTATTGTGTCGCTCCGTTTTGCGTTTGTATTATTTTCCATTGAAGCGATTTAATTTGTTCCCCCGACAACGGCGAAACATGACAAGACGAACAGTGACATTAAGACAAATAAATGTTCGCTGAAATGTGCAAATAAGTCCTGGAGTTATGAGTCTTATGACAATTGTAATCAAATCTTGTAGGTAAGTGACTCAGCTACGACGCTGCGGCCTGACGAAATCAAACCGTTGAGATCTGTGGGTCTCTTCGTTTGATTACGAAACGAATTTTCAGTGATCAAATATATCTGTATTATTTACAAATATATCATGTTATCACTGAAAATTCGAAAAATTTTTGAGTAACTCATTACATAAGAAAGTTCTTAACTGTTAGATTCTTATACTTCAAAAAATGGAGCAGACAAAAAAAAATCAGCCAAGTGCGAGTCGGGCTCGCGCACCGAGGGTTCTGTACAAACTCAATTTAATACCTCTACACATTCATAAGAAATGAGGAAGTAAACATTAAAATTTTCAGAAATATTTTTTATTATATGATGTCACGAAAAATTTACGGTTTTCGCAATTTTTCCTTTACCTGTACTATAAGACCAACTTCGTACCAAATTTCATGATTCTAAGTTCACGGGAAGTACCCTGTAGGCTTTGATTCCCGTGCGAGTTATGAAAATTTGCGGAAATTTGCGACATAAACGGCTGTATCTTTCGATTGCTTTGGCTTAGAAGTTTGATTTTTTCAAAGCTACAAGGGACAGTAGACATAAGTATTTGATATGAATTTTAGTTTGATACCTCCACGCATTCCTGAGAAAAACAGTCATGAAAGACGGTCGGACGGACGGACGGGCAACAAAGTGATCCTATAAGGGATCCGTTTTTTCCTTTTAGGTACGGAACCCTAAAAACGAGTGCTTATGACCACACGACTGAAGTGAAATTGATTTAGCTCTATCTGTATGTATTTATATATATATATATATATATATATATATATATATATATGTGTGTGTGTGTTTTTACAATATATACATGTATGTACATATACATATTTCATTTACTAGTTATAAGAGAAACAGAGAAAGAAAATTGCGCGCGCACTGCTTTGTCTTGTTTATATCCCCCACTGAACTCCCGTTCGCCTCGCCCGAACACACTTTTCGTAACGCGTAACGCATTCGCCAGCTTACCCCCAAGTCAAGCGAGCGTAAAGAAATTTCTCTTTGAAAAAGACACTATTATTACTCCGTACAGCGAAAGGGTGAGGCCATAATAATGCGTTGCAGCGTCACAGCGTAGAAATCTACGACGTCGTACAACGCATCGCGGAATTGCCTTTACCCTGCCGGCCGTTGCGATGATTTTTTTTGCGTTGCGTCCTCGCATCGTATTGCGAATCGTATCGTAATATGATGTAAGGACGCAAAGCAATTCGCGATGCGACATCGTAACGCAGTGTTGTGGCCTTGGCTAAAGGTGAGCTTTCTATACCATCGTCTTGTATAATCCTTAGTTAAACCATAGGTTAATTTTAAAAAGCTTTTATAACTTAAGCGATTAATTTATCATAATGTTGAGTGTATTTGTTATGCAACTGTTGTAGTCAATAATATAAAAATATTTTCAACACTCACTAGCCTAGCCCCAAAGCAAGCATTGTAGACTTGTGTTATGGGAAACTAGGGTAACGGATAGAATACATTTACAGTAAATATATAAGTATATTTAAATAGAAATACATATTAAACATCCATGACTGATGTACAAATGCTCGTATTCTTCACACAAACATCTGCTCCCACCGGGATTCGAACCCGGGATCTCTCGAGTGGCGCCACCATGAAACCCGGCGTACAAACCACTCGGCCACGGAGGTCGTCAATAGACCTATTTGTTGTCCTCAACAATCAATTGTGTGAAAATCGGAAGAAAGAGGAGTTATTATAAGTTTCTTTTTTCTTATAAATAACTTACTAGTTAACCTCATTATGACAAACTTCTCATATTTCTAAGAGATCTTACTCTATGTTATGATACTATCATATTCTTCAACATAGTGGTAAACACGAACAGTTAAGATTAATAATATGTTATCTTTCATCGTTAAAATGAATGATCGCTGGGCGCATGCCATGTATATGACCAATAATGGCCATATTATAATTACAATTTATGTTTACAAAAAAAAATGTTAATGAGACTCCTAGACTCTTTCAAAATAACTTTTTTCGAATAGTTTGAGAATGGTATATGGCTTTTTTTTGGTTTCAAAGAACAATTTTTATAACATTTTAAGTACTTACTTATTTTCTAGAACAGCTTTTAGTGCAAATGCAATCAAAAACTTCACCACTTAAACAGCTGCCGTAGATTTTAACCAATCTCATACAATCGGAATATTAAATTGACCAATTTAATTTGATAAGGCCCTTCGAATTTCCTTCACCAAGCAAGCTGTCTGTAGTCAGGCTTACCTACCTATCTCTTAGTTTACTTTTACTATATTTTTTTTTGTCTGCTTACTGCGAAAACGAAATAAATGCACTTTTTTACGAAATTGAGTTATGAACACAGCTATACGTAACTTTTTGTGCTATTTCTA